AACCGACCAATCAGAACCAAATGTGGGTAGTGTGAAGAACAAATTGCTGCCTAGGAGACGGAGCTTTTGACATTGATTGGCATAGAAACTGACCAATCAGAACCAAATGTGGTTGCTGTGGGGAACCAATGGCTGGGAGGCAGAGCTTCTGACACTGACTGGCATTGAAACCGACCAATCAGAACCAAATGTGGGTGCTATGGGGAGCCAATGGCTTCCTAGGAGGCAGAGCTTCTGATGCTGACTGGCATAGACACCAACTAATCAGAACCAAATGTGGGTGCTGTGGGGAGCCAATGGCTGCCTAGGAGGCGAAGTTTTATATGTTGATTGGCATAGGAACCAACCAATCAGAACCAAATGTGGGTGCTGTGAAGAACTAATGGCTGCCTAGGAGGCAGAGCTTCTGACGCTGACTGGCATTGAAACCGACCAATCAAAACCAAATGTGGGTGCTGTGGGGAGCCAATGGCTGCCTAGGAGTCGGAACTTTTGACGCTGACATAGAAACCGACCAATCAGAACCAAATTGGCCAGCAGTGGAGGGCAGTTGGGGGTGATCAGGCTGGCAGGCAGGTGAGCAGTTAGGAGCCAGTGGTCCCTGATTGCGAGAGAGATGTCCCACAGGGATCGGGCCTAAACTGGCAATCAGACATCTCCCAAGGGGTCCCCAGTTGGAGAGGGTGCAGGCTGGGCTGAGGGAACCCCTCCTCCATGCACAAATTTCATGCACCCAGCTTCTAATCTATACTAATAAAAGGGTAATATGCTAATTAGACCAGACACCTTCGGGACATCCATCTGGACGTCCTTCTGGACAAAGCCATGGTGGCGGGGGCAGAGGCAGAGGCCGTTAGAGGCAATCAGGTTGGCTGGGGAGGGCAGTCGGACATCCCCTGAGGGGTCCCGGATTGGAGAGGGTGCAGGCCGGGCTTAGGGGGACCACCACCCCCCCTCCAATGCACTCGGGCCTCTAGTAACAAAATAAACTGATGAACAAAATAGATGCAGAGATACGGAAGCATGGAACAGACTGACGAATCTCAGAGGGAAGCGGGGATGGGGCACAGGCAGGAAGGAATTAACCAAAGAACTTAAATGTATATAGACATATCCCATGGACACAGACAATAGTTCTCTGAAGGCCTGGGGAGGGGTTGTGGCTGGGGAAGAGGGGGGTGTTAATGGGGGAAGCAAAGAGGACAACTGTAATACTTCCAACAATAAAGATAAATTAAAAAAATAATAAAAAATATAGGCTCACAAAAAAAAATTTAAAAATGAAAGCTAGAAATACATTTGAAGTTGTCTGAAGTAATTTGGACATCAATTTCAAAAAAAGCCCATCTTTATAGTAATGTGCTATTGAAGTATGATGGAAAATAAAGAGAAAATACCCTTAGGTAATTTATTAAATATAAATTATTAGTTAGGAAAGATATCAAAGATACCAATAATAGTTTATGTTATAGAAATCACTAGCTCATGTGAAAAATATTAATGAGCAAAATATTAATGAGCACTATTCTCCATTCTGGATAATAAGGTTTATTATAAACTAGTGGCCTGGTGCACGAAATTCATACACGGAGGAGGGGGTGTTCCTCAGCTTGGCCTGCACCCTCTCCAATCTGGGACCCCTCGAAAGATGTCCTACTGCCAGTTTACAGGGATCGGGCCTAAACCGGAAATCGGACATGCCTCTCGCAATCCGGGACTGCTGGCTCCTAACCGCTCACCTGCCTACCTGCCTGCTTGATTGCCCCTAACCACTCCACCTGCTGGCCTGCTCGCCCCCAACTGACCCCCGGCACCGGCCTGCTTGCCCCCAAGTGCCCCCCCTGCCAGCCTAATCACTCCCAACTGCCCCCCGTGCCAGCGTGCTCACCCCCAACTGCCTCCCCTGCCAGCCTGCTCACCCCCAACTGCCCCCTTTGCTGGCCTGCTTGCCTCCACCTTCCCTGCCCACTGGCCTGCTCGCCCCCAATTGCCCCACTGCTGGCTGGCCTGCTCACTCCAAACTGGCCCCCCGCCCCGCTGTCCTGATCACCTCCAACTGACCCCCACTGACAGCCTGCTTACCCCCAACTGGCCCCCCAGCTGGTCTGCTTTACCCCCTGAAAGATAGCAACATATCTGGAGTTCCCAGTGGTCTTCAGTTTAGAATGTCATCCTCACTGCTCTTTCAGTTACCAAAATCCTTGAGGATATAGGTCATGTACATAAAAAAACAGTACAGTACCCATATAACTATTGTGTATAGCAGCACCAAAATAATTATTAATTACTGTAATAATATTTTTAAACTATAATTTTCAAACACACAAAATCAGATTAATAAGTACAAAATGGCAAAGAAGTTTCAACTTCAAAGTGTCTGGTCAGATCAAAGAAAATTATATAACTACACAACAGTGAATTAAAGTCATTAAAAAATGAAGCTGTATCATTAAAAAGTGAAATATATTTAAATTACAAAAAATAATGATCATTTTAATTATTAAAGTTATAAAGCAAACAATTATCTAAAATATATTAACATAAAAAGCTCTCACTATATGGAATATTTCAAAATCCCAATTAACTTTCTACAAAGATTATTCTAAAGGCTAGAAATACAATGGAACAGACTAAGTAATTTCACAGGAAAGGCAGGGGTGAGGGTGGGAGAGATTAAATAAGGAAATTATATGCATATATGCATAGCCCATAGCATAGACTATAGAGTGGCGAAGGCCTAGGAGGGGCAGAGGAGATCGATGGGAAAAAAACAAAGGGGACAACTGTAATACTTCCAACAATAAAGATAAATTTAAAAAATAATAAAAAATATAGGCTCACAAAAAAAATTTAAAAATGAAAGCTAGAAATACATTTGAAGTTGTCTGAAGTAATTTGGACATCAATTTCAAAAAAAGCCCATCTTTATAGTAATGTGCTATTGAAGTATGATGGAAAATAAAGAGAAAATACCCTTAGGTAATTTATTAAATATAAATTATTAGTTAGGAAAGATATCAAAGATACCAATAATAGTTTATGTTATAGAAATCACTAGCTCATGTGAAAAATATTAATGAGCAAAATATTAATGAGCACTATTCTCCATTCTGGATAATAAGGTTTATTATAAACTAGTGGCCTGGTGCACGAAATTCATACACGGGGGAGGGGGTGTTCCTCAGCCCGACCTGCACCCTCTCCAATCTGGGACCCCTCGAAAGATGTCCTACTGCCAGTTTACAGGGATCGGGCCTAAACCGTAAATCAGACATGCCTCTCGCAATCCGGGACTGCTGGCTCCTAACCGCTCACCTGCCTACCTGCCTGCTTGACTGCCCCTAACCACTCCGCCTGCTGGCCTGCTCGCCCCCAACTGACCCCCGCCACCGGCCTGCTTGCCCCCAAGTGCCCCCCCTGCCAGCCTAATCACTCCCAACTGCCCCCCGTGCCAGCGTGCTCACCCCCAACTGCCTCCCCTGCCAGCCTGCTCACCCCCAACTGCCCCCTTTGCTGGCCTGCTTGCCTCCACCTTCCCTGCCCACTGGCCTGCTGGCCCCCAATTGCCCCACTGCTGGCTGGCCTGCTCACTCCAAACTG